ATCTTTAATATACATATGTGCTATAAATATTGCTTTCTAAATCTATGAGAACATCAGAGTGGTTAACCTTTATAGATTTATTATTTCTGTCAGGAATGGGTACGAATGTCACCATGGATAGTGAATCTTGCAAATATTGTGGTATAGAGAGAATTATTATAATGTTGTATATTAATGTAATGTGAAGTGCTATGGCTGCTTTAATATTAGTATAACTGTCGAAGTCTGTGATTAATTCGAGTTCGGTTTGGCTGATAATATCTGTGGGGATGATTCCCAGTTTCCCGGAGAAAATAATCTGTCCTATGTCGTCTACGTGATGCCGTAGGAGTGAGATGTCGTTGTTAATCTGGTATATGTGCTCTATAAATGTTATCTCGTCCTCTATGGTTGAAATTTTATTCCCTATATTATTCTTGACTTTGATTAAGTAGTCCCCGATAATGTTTTGCTGATAGTTTATGTGGCTAGTTATATTCTGGATTTAGGAGTTCATAACATTGTTTATATAAGTTAGTTTGTTCGTTTCGTTGGTTAAGTTTTCTTCGTTCGTATGTAGTAATGTAAGAGTTTTAGTTATTTGTTCTTCATCGTCACTGTCCATTGTACCTGCAATAAGTTTTACACCTTTTCCTATAATGTTTAAGAGAGCCCGTTTCCTTCGGAAATGTGGGTTAAGATTTTCTATTTTTGCTCTTAATAGCATAAAGTTCTTATTTATTGTATTTATTAATTTTTTTTGATTCGCTGCTGGATATCTTTAGCATGTCAATGTTGGTTTTGATTATTTCCACAGTTCGTTCGTATTCTGTGGTGTTTATTATGTGTAGTACTTTTATGTAGTGTTCTACAGTTTTAGTCTCTCCTTTTTTTATCGGTATGTATCCATTATTGTTCGATACGTCCTGTAAGTCGATAGTTTGAGTCTTGAATGTTGAGGTAATTGTTGCCATCATTATGATCCATTTAATCATCTAAAAAATTACATTTATTTAATTTTAGYTTTGATTTTGGGGTTACTCTTGTCTTGGTATTTCTTCTTAGGTCTAACGTGAGTTTTATAATATTTATGTCCAGTTTCTGTTATCTGTAAGTGGTCACCATCTATTTTTTCAGCATTAATTTTCCTGTATATTCTGTGATTTTTGCCCCCTTATCTCTCTAATGTAATTTGGTCCGCCTTCTAATTCTATATCCTTCCGGTTTTCATTTAACTTCTGAATGTACTTTTCTTTCTTTGAGTTTATAAGATCATGAATTTCTATGTATCTATCTTCATGTACTTTACCATTTACAAAATTAATCGGTTTGATGCCGGTCGTGCTATGTATTGTATTATTATAAAAACCTATTATTCTTATTATTTTATCTTCTATACTTTCGTCTTTGTTTTCTTTATCGTGCCTTAACAAGCGTATGTGCTCATTGATTGTGTTGTGTAGTCTCTCAATGTCGGCGTTAGACGTATGGTTACTATTGGAAGTATAGTGAATATCTATGTTCTCCTTTTTCAAAAATTCTTGTATCGGTATAGCTTTAAAGCCTAGTTCATTATCCACAACAATTTTATTTATTTTCCCACAAGTATTGATTATCAGCAAAAGTTTTGTTTTAAATTCTGTCCAACTCCTACCGTTTATTTGAAATGCTAACGCGAACTTCGACAATTTATCAATTACTGTCATAAAAAGTTTCTTACCTAAAGTATAAAATACGTCTATATGTAATRTTTCCAGAGGTTTGGATGGAGTTTCTGTAATTTTGTAAGGGATCTTCGAGGGTTTTCTATCGTATTTTTCTAAGTTACAAATTTCACAGTTATTTATGAACTGAGTTATCCTTTGTTTTAATTTAGGATTTTAAATTCTCGTAATTAATTTTTTATATACTGCCTAAATTCCTCTATGGTTTTTGTCAAGATGTTCGTTTTTAATAATTTCAGTTAATCGATTTTCGTATTCTATGTCTTCCGTCATGAGTGTAGATCTAAGTACTTTAAAATTTGGGTTATTTGAAAATAGTTCTTCGTAAACAGTTTTAAACATAGTATAAAATTCGTCTTCGATAAAAATAGCATTCAATTGCGTTGGATTAAAATGATTCTTTAGTATTGTAATTGCTGTCCATTCCTTCCTACAAATTATTCTTTATTTTTAAAAACAGATTTATTTTTTATTCTTAATGATCCAGATGTAGTTTTCATTATAACTACTTGACTTTTAAACATATTAATTGGTGAAGTAGTACTTTTTATCGTTCCCCTGTCGCACTCTAGTGTATTAATGCTAGGTTCAATTTCAATCCTTTACAAAGCGTCGGCATTACTATTCTTTCTTCTTTTCTTGTACCTAATGTCATAATCATATTCAGATAGTCTTAATCTCCACCTAACAAGTTTTGAATTTGGTTCCTTTATAGAAAGGAGCCATGTCAGTGGCTTGTGATCTGTCTCTATTATAAACTTGCGACCAAAAAGGTATGGCCTAAAATATTTTGTAGCCCATACGATTGCCAATAATTCCTTCTCTATTGTGCTATAATTTGTTTCATGCGTATTAAGGGTGCGACTGGCGTAGCATATTGGATGATTATCTTGCGAGAGCACCGCTCCCAAAGCGTAACTACTCGCGTCCGTTGTCAATGTAAATGTTTTAGAAAAGTCTGGGTAATATTGGATCATGTGTTAGTAGGGTCTTGAGGGGGTTAAAACCTTTTTCGTAGTCCGAGTCATTTATATTTATCTATGAATCTTTCTTTAAGCACCTAGTCATTGGTTTAGCTATAGACGAGTAGTCCTTTATGAACTTCCTATAGTAGCCTGTGAGCCCTAAGAATTGCTTGATCTGTTTTGTAGTTTTGGGTATTGGGAAGTTAACAACGCATTCTATCTTTTTAGGATTGGGCTTGACTTCTTCTGTTGTAATTATGTGCCCAAGGAACTCTGTTTCCTTTTTTAGAAATTCTGATTTATCTAGCTGGACTTTTAAATTTGCCTCCTGTAATCTTGCGAATATAAGTCTAAGTGAGTTCATATGTTCCTGTAAGGATGTTGAAAATATGATTATATCGTCCAGGTATACTAGGCGGATTTTGTTGATATAATCTTGGAGTATATTATTCATCAATCTCTGGAACGTTGCAGGGGCTGTTTTTGGTCCGAAAGGCATTCGCAGAAATTCATAGTGCCCTCCTTCGACACTAAATGCAGTTTTATGGATGTCTTCTTCCTCTATCTCGATTTGGTGGAAACTATTCGCGAGATCGAGTCTAGTGAAGTACTGGCTTCTTCCCAGTTTTTCAAGAATCTCGTCTATCTTCGGGATGGAAACTTGTCATCGATCGTTACTTAGTTCAGTTTACGATAGTCGATTACAAGTCTCCACTTTGGTTTCCCGCTGGCATCGGCCTTCTTTGGCACGATCCAAATTGGGGCTGAGTAGGGAGAATTGCTATTCCTAATTATCCCGTGTTTTAACATTTCTTGGATTTGATGTGTGACTTCTCCTTATGTACGTACGGGTACCTATATGACTTAGAAAATATAGGTATGTTGTTTGTAGTTCTAATTCTATGTTTTATTGCTGAAGTAAATGAAAGTCCTTCATTTTCCTGGTAAAAAATATTACGATATCCTTTTATTATTTGCAACAATTGTGATCTTTCCTCAGGGTTCATTTGTCCTATTCTAATTTGGTCAGCCAGTGGTTTAGATTCTTTATTTTCGATTATGTTAAAATTTTCGTAATCTACTCTTTGCTTCTTGATTTCTTACATTTAAAATTCCCTCTCTTACAGTGTTTCCGCCGTTTTCTTCCTTATAATATACTATCTTTCTTTCATTTAAGTTTTCGTTTTCGAAGTGCATAGGAAGTGTCTTGTTACCGATGTTTATTTCGTTCCTTCTATAATCGATACAGGCATTTAGTGGTCTCAATACATCGTTACCTATTAGACCGTCAAAAGAGTTATGAAATTTTATTATTTAAAATTCTATTGGTTTATTAGTTCCAATGTCGCTAAATTCTTCGAACTTGGGCCTTTTTGTCAACGTAAATTCGATGTTGGAGAGTTTTAATTAAAAGTGGGCTAGTTTGTTACGCCTGTGTCTATTATGTCTTATAAAACTTATCTTTGTTTTTATTATTATAAATGGCTCATTCCTGAAAAGAAAAGAGTGCTCTGTCGACACAGACGTGGCAAAAGAAATTGGGCGAGGCTTCAACATTCTCCCCGCCTTGCAGTATTACTGCAAATGCAGTTCACAATCATTTACTTAAAACTAACTTAACTAACCGGCTCCTGCACTACCTCTTCCACGTCTTCTTTTCAGATGGGGTGGCCGACGAGACGAATCGAGTCTGGATCGGTCCGGGAAATGCCGCTGAGATTAATCGAGTCTCAGTCGGTCATTACGATGCCACCAATTTGCATAGAAGTCACCCCCTTCCGAGGTCGGCGAGACGACTCGAGTCTAACTCCATCCTGGGTAGGCGGTAAATGTGGGAGGCGTTGGCAGCCAGTGTACTTTATTGTGCCGATATTATCCCATGTGCATCTGCTTGACGACGAGCGTCTCGTCCACGCCTTCGCTGGGGTGGCCGGCGGAACGAATGGCGTTCCGCTCGGTCAGGACAATGTCGCTGAGATGAATCGAATCTCAGTCGATCGTTGCCATGCCATGCCAAACGAAAGGAAGTTACCAGCACGCCGAAGTCGGCGAGACGACTCGAGTCTGCCTCGATCTTGGGTGTGTGGTATGCGGGAGAGGCATCGTTGGACAGAGCTTTGCTTGTTACCATCATGCACTGAGGTGGGGTGATTGTTGACAATTCTGTTGATCGAACTGTTGCTGATACTGTTGTTGCTCTCGTTAGCCCCTAAGGCCAATGTGGAAGAGCCGTTCGAATGCCGGCTGTTTCGTTCAGAATGTTAGCCAAATGATGTGAGGGTGTTGATGTCGGTGTTGGGAGCTGTTGTGATGGCTGATGCAGCTGATGTTGCTAGATTTGCAGCGATTGATGTTGAAGTTGTTGTTGTTGCGCTGTCACCGAGTGGCTGGACGCAATGGGTGACGAAATGTGCGCTGGATACATAGACGGCTGCGTTATCGGCAGCTGTGATTCACGCTGCGTTGACTGCTGCCGTTGTTGTTGTTGATGCTGTTGTGATAATGGCTGTTGCTGCGGCTGTGTCTGCGACTGAGGTTGCGACTGTGACTGAATCGCTGTCTGCGTTTGTGTTAGGATCTGGGTCTTGACTTTAGATTAGCTGGTGCAACTTGTGTCGCCGTTAACATTGCAGCAAACGGATCGCCTAGCAACTGGTGGTTGTACTTCTGTTGATATGGTTGATACATTGGTGTTGGGGCGTTGTTGGATGATGTGATAATTGTGATGTCTTGGCGACTGCTGTTGCAGCATAGTCTGTTGATGGGGCGATTGTTGCTGCTGTTGTATAAATATAATATTAGTATTAATTTTACTACAAAAGGGGTTTTGTGTTTGTTGTTTAGTTATTGTTGAATTTTGTGCGTCGCCTTTGCCATTTATCTTCGTTTCTTTCAGAGGAAACGGAACCTGTAACAATCCAACCGAACACTGTTCGTTGTGCTACGAGGGATCCGAACATTTTCGATTTTACCCCGTTTTTCGGGTAAAGATCCGCTCCGATCAACAAGTCAACCTTTTGACTCGTATAGAAATTGTTATCCGCTAAGAGGATATTGGGTAACCTTTTTAAAAATGAAGGGTTAATTGACCTATATGGAGGCGGTCCAGTCAATTTTGGCAGTACCAACGCTTCCGCTTCTTAAAATTTTGTTACGGGGCGAGCCAATTGTGATCGAGCATGCCAATTGAACTCGTCCTGATACGGTATTATTCAATCCTGAAACTCGGGCGCTGACCTTTTTGCTTGCCAGGTGTAAGCGTTTTTGTAGACTATTGCTTACGAAGGTGGCTTCAGATCCCAAATCAATCAGGGCTCTCACAGTGAAGGTGCTCTTGACATATGCGCAACATTTCTTTACCATATTGGACTTAATAGAGGCCACATGAGATTTAGTAGAAACCTCAGTATTATTATGCTGTCAGATATCTGAGTTATTCCCTCACTCTGAACCCGATGAATCATAGAGTGATGTCTCTGTTTACATTTGGAACAATTAAGAAGACTTTCACAATTTTTGACTTCATGTGAATCCGATAAACACTTTAAGCAGACGTGGAGTTTTCTGACAGCATTTAACCGTGCATTAGGTTGCATCTCAATGAATCTTTAACAAGTTTTCAGAATGTGTGATTGAGATGAGCACAGTTTACATTTAATGTTGTTTGTCTTGGCGTGATGGGAATTGATTTGATTGGATCTAATTCTTGGCTGCAAGGTTGATATCCGATCTTCACCATCAGCCGACTTAATATTGGGTTGAGTACTCAACTCGCCTTTGAGGTTTGATAGTCTCTCAACCGTTTTAACCCGTTTGACTAGAAACTTGTCTAACTCAATCCGTTTTGGAATCTCTGAATCCGAATCCAGAGATTGTTCCCAAAGCGACAGTGTATAGTCCGGCAGTCGGATTGAACACAAATACGTAAATATGGCATCCCAGCTATATACATTGATACATTGACACTATTGTAAAGCTGAAATGCAGCTATTTATCTCCAGCTGTAAATTTCTGAGTTCGGTCTCAGATTCTGTGGGGAAGCTTGAATAATAAATTTAATTGTGTGTTGACAAGCACTCTCTTGTTTTCATACCTACACAACAAATTATTCCAAGCCAATGCGAATCCGTCATTTGTCAGTGGCGCTTTCGAAACAATAGCTTCTGCTTCACCTCGCGTTTTTTCATTCAAATGGAATAACTTTTCTACCGGAGAAAGCCTTGGGTTATTCCCATATATAGCAGCAAATAAATCCCTAAATGAGGGCATTGTAAAACATCGCCATGAAATATTTCAGTATCACATGGCGGTAAATTGATAGAATACTTCACGGGTTCTACAGTTCGTTGTAACCGTTCAGGTTGAATTACTGTAGAATGTGAAGTTGGGCTTTCGTTGAACGCCGTGAGGTTGTGCATGTGTTCGCATCAAGGCCGCGCAACACACATAAGCGTGGTAAGAGCTTGAATATTTAAGCTTAATGTCGTCAATTGAGCTTGTGTCGGAAGGATCCACTTTTGGCAAACACAACTTGTATTCTTACTTTACCGCTGCCCACAGAGATTTCAGTTCAGCTTGTTGTACTTCAAGAGAGTAGGCACTTTGGTTGTTTGCTGTTGGAGTAAAAGACTCCTCAAACTCCAGTAGAGCGTATGCAGCTGTGATAAATGCTCTGATGGATTCCATTTTTTTCGAAAATTGAACCGGAATTGCAAAAATGTTGCACAAAATCGGATCTAAAACTTGAAATTTAAATTTAAAAAATATTTGAAAATATGTTGCAAAAAGTTCAAAAGTTACAGCACCAATCACGGACTACTGAGTTGATGATAGGCAGTACGTTGTTCCCTTATGAAGCGTGCATTTTCGAAAGAACAAAAAAAATTAATAAATTGAGTAAATTATTTTCTCAAAGTATATTTTTTTTTTTTTCAAATTTGACTTGTATGTGTATGCTGGGTAATCGTCCGAATGCACTTGCACGCCTAGTCTTCGGATGTGTACACAAACAAAATTGATTTGTCCGTAATTGCTTTATTCAAACCCAAATACAATATAGATAAAAATTTACTATCTAATTTGATTTATATCCACTATTCACTTTCACTTTTGTTCACTGGGTTATTTTCGAACTATTTCGATTTCACACTACACAATTTTGTTTGTTGGGATGGCTGCTTGCCTTTGCTGCTATGCCTTTGCTGCTCTCCCTTTGCTGATTGGCCTGTGCTGCTTTGCCTTTGCTACTCTCCCTTTGCTGCTTGGTCTGTGCTGCTTTGCCCGTGCTGCTTGGCTTTGCTGCTCTCCTTAGCTGTTTGGCTTTCTTGCCGTCGCTCACTTCACTTTTCTTTGTATTTTGTTTTTTTTTTTGTTTTTTGCACTCGCGAAACTGCAGCTGCGTTATTGCCGCTTGCCTTTATTGCTATTCGAGCAATATATGGAAAGGCAGAGCTGAGCGACTAGACTCAAATTAACCACAAGAAAACGCAAAAACCGAGAGAGATTGTGGACGCTCCAAACGATTTTGTGCGTCCAAGAAATTTATAATGTTATTCTAATAAAAGTGTGTTTTTTTTATGCAAAATTTTATTGTTGTACTTAAATGAAGTACAAAACTACCTGCGGACTTGTGCGTTGATTTTGTGGGTAGAGTGCCAAAAATAAGGTTTGGTCTCCACTTCACACAGCATAATAGGTTTTGTACATATTATAACTTATGCACAAACTAACCAATCTATTGCCTTATAGCTTGCAGAGCACAAATTCAAAATATGTTTGGTTATAACTTGCGAATTGAAAAATCGGGCAAATTATGCACTTTCTCTTTAATTAAAATATACTTGTTACCTGTTATTCGGCTCGAAGGGCCAATGATAATTCGGGTGGTGGAGCACGGTGCTCGCTCGTTCCGTAGTTGTGGTTGGCCGTAAGGAAACGGACAGTGCAAATGATTCCACAAAATATTAAATAAAAACACAAGTCTTCATGTAATATATGTAATTTTAATATAACAAATTGGAAACACATTTACCACGTCTGTATCGCTAAGCGATTTGCAAAAACAGTAATGTACACTGACTTTCCTAAATATTTTATATGGAATGCATAATCAAAAAATTGGGAACCACGAAAACGAGGTATACCAGTCCCACGATTTCCCAATACATTGGCAAATACTTTAGGCCGACTCTACACAGTTCATCCTGAGCAACGTGAATGCTTTTTCCTACGTTTGTTATTGATCAACATTCCTGGACCGACATCCTTCCAATCTGTGCGTACAGTAAATGGTACTGTATGCAATACTTTCTTCGATGCCTGTCGTGAGTTACGTTTTTTGGAAGATGATAATCATTGGGATATCAGCACTAAGCTCATCGCCGCACCAAATTCGTGAATTATTTTCAATAATATTAACAACGTGTTCTCTATCTGAAGCATCTGCACTGTGGAACAAATATAAAGACTCAATGAGTGATGATATTTTGCATCGTATTAGAATAACCAATCAAAATGTCAATATTGAATTCTCCGCTGAGGTGACATTGTATTTATTTTGAAAATGCTTTATTTATTCTTCCAAATCAATTTCATCCCCTTTAAAGTAATCCCCTCCCGATGCAATGCACTTATGCCAACGGATTTTCCAATCTTCGAAACACTGCTTGCAGTCACTTTCCGGGATGGTCTTCGCTGCAGCTTGAATCTCCTCTATCGTATAAAAMCGGTGTCCCCGGAGCGGTCTTTTGAGCGTGGTGAACAGCCAGAAGTCGCACGGCGCCAGATCAGGTGAATACGGTGGTCGCTGAACGATATGGGTTGAGTTTTTGTCGATATGATCACGAATTACGAGTTCACTATGGGATGGTGCATTATCGTGGTGTAAAAACCAAGAATAATCTTTCCACAATTCCGGCCTTTTCAAGCGGATAGCGTTACGTACACGACGCATAACGTTCAAATAATATTCCTTGTTGACTGTTTCACTTTTTGGAAGAAATTCATAACGCACAACACCACGATAATCGAAGAAAACGATCAACATGACGTTGATTTTTGAGCGACATTGGCGCGACTTTTTTGGTATCGGCCCTCTTTAGGTACGATATCCAAGATCCAAGTCTAAGTCTGCCATCAAATTGTTAATTGATGGTTTTTCAAAACCAAATCTTTGATTTGTGGTACGTGAGCTTCGTCGGTTAAGGTTGATGGTCGCCTTGGACGCTCTTCGTTTACGACACATTCACGGCCGGCTTGGAAATTGATTCCGTAAACAAAATTTAATGCAAATTCTTTGCTCAACAAATTTCGACATCGCAAAAACCGAAAAACTCACTTTTAGCAGCTCACAAAACGACACGTATCTCAAACACTAATGAATATTTTGACATGAAATTTGACATAAATGTGACTGACAGTACTACCAACCAAAAAAAATAGTTCTCTAAATACTTCGACGCACGCAGTTTAAATTCAAATGTCACCTTATTTTTTGGGCACAGTAACATTAATGCGGAATGGAGTAGTATGGCTCAATGGGAATCCTATTGTTCGTTGGGCTCATTTGACCCAGTGCTCTGTATTCATTCGTAAAGTTCAGATACATTTTATGACCCGTCGAACTATGGTTTCATATGTGTGACCGAGTCATTTACATTCAGCTGTAAATGGTTTCCTGACTTGAAGCCGACCTGAAGGCAATACTTGAGTTGTGTTAACGAAAAAATTTTCACAATATTTTTGCTCTGGTGTGAGTTTAATGCCATTTGTTTGTGAAGGTAATTTTTCTAAAGCCAAAATTTAATAGGCTACTGAATAATGTGCTAGTTACAGAAGGATGAAGACTTAGAATGCTGGTATATTTTCCAGATACAATCCACCCTAAAAGGGGTTTCTTTAGCGGTGGTTGATTAGGACCACTTTTAATTTGGCCAACATCAATGTTGTATGGTATTTCCAGCTTAACATTGATGTTATGGTCTGTATGGTTAGCGGCAATACATCGCATTATCCAGGATTCCACTGAAAATTCGTAATTATTGACCCGCGACTTAACAAAGGGCGTTTGTCACCACTTTCGTAAATTAATTTCCAATTCCTACTTAACGTTTTATGTTTGCGTCGAATCTGCAACTTCTGTGGCAAGTCCGCCGTCATAAAGTTGACTTGGCAGCCTTAGTCCAGCAACGTTCTTGCTTCCTTATAACTGGTCCTCATTTGAATAACTGCTGTCACCGATTTCACAAGCTCGAACCACCGTTGTACCAGAAGCACTTTGAAGGTGGTGCAGGTAATTAGAGGGTGTTCTTTGACTTGCACTTTTCACTGATTGACGGCTTTGTATTTGCAACAATTAAAGCTGA